GGCAGCAGGCGCTTGCAACCACTGAGATACATGCCCTGCTCACGCTGTTGCAGGCCCATGTATAACTCCTGCAAGGCGTGCTGCTACCTTTTTCAAAGCTGCTTCAAAATTTTTTCTGCCTGGTCAATCAGGCAGCATGCAAAATCAATGGCGCTGCCCTTTCTTGACATTTTTGGACGCTGACCAAAACTTTGGCACCAAACTTGGGTCTTCTAGAACACACCTGTTCCAGGCATCAGTTTTCTATGTGACATCAGGAGGCAATTTGCTGCCAACTTTTACGGGCATATTGTGCTCAGAAAGAGTGAACATTGGCGCAGGAAGTTTTCGTTTGAGATCTCTTTTGATGTTCGAGATGTGCTGGCCTGAAGTCCCCATCTGTGACAATAGAATCCATGAGTTGATCTTCCATACCCAGCCTTTTGCGCCCCAAACCCATGCTGAGACAATAGCTCACACTGGTCGGATTTCAAAGAAACTCTCCTCAAAGTTTGCAGCTTTCCTTGCAGTTCGTCCCATGGTGTTCTCTCTAACACCCAATTCAAACAAAATGCGCGTTCAATAAACTGAGAGTTTCCTTTCAGAGCGTTTTCTTTCTGAGGCATCGTTTTGAGTGCTGACTGCTATTCAATAAAATGCGTGTTCATTGGGGCATTCTTCTTGAGAGCTGACTGTTTTGTATGCAAGGGCTTCCTTTCTGAGAGTTGCTTGTGATACTGTGTGCTGCATGCTTATTCGAGCCAATTCCAAATATGCAAACCACCAGGGCCCAGCATAACTTTCAGAGAAGAAATGAAAACCTCTCTGAAATGAATCGAGCCTTTCCAAAAAGAAATGGAAAAAACTCTCAGAAAAGGGCACTCAGAAAAGAAACCATCAGAAAAATCTCTCAGAAAAGAAACTCGCAAAGGTCGAGACTGTGTGACTTGGCAAAACCCTCCTCCATCAAAACCTCGGTTGTGGCGGGCCACCATGCCAAAGAAAGAAGGTTTCATACCAGGAGCTGGCCTGACATCCTGGATCTGCGTGCTCTGGTCGACGGTAAAATGGTATCCACCGAAGGGCAAGCTGTGGGGCTCTTGCTCCAACTGCTCATCGGAGGGGTGGTACTCAGCGAACTCTTCCAGGTCTCGCCCTCCTCGCCGCTCATTGCAACAGGTGCGCCGGAAAGTCGAAAAGAGCGCAGGAAAGATACCAGAAACACTGCAGCTGAGCTGAAAAAAGGCGCATGCAGGAAAGGAGTGGAAAGCCATGCAGAAATCATGCCAGTGCACGAAATGGAAACACGAAACTGGAAACAAGAAGAGAAAGCGCTCCAATGTTTTTCCTCCTCAGCGTTGCGTGTTTGCGACTGATCTCTTCACAGTCGGCTGACATGTCATCATCTCTTCATGAACAAAACTGCTCAGCTCATGGCTGTCAACCCGCGCACCAGCTCCTGCGTGTCCATCAAGGCCTTTGCAGTGTTCGACAAGAGAGCTCTCGTCCCCTGAAACTCACCTTGGCCCGAAATCTTCACCTCCTTGAGCTTGAGCTGAAAGCGCAAGCCTTCAAAGCCTGAACTCCTTGGCCTGTTCCTGCGCAAGCTTGCAAGGCCTTTCTGGCATCATTCTTGGCCTTGTACAGCCACTGCAAGGCGTCCTCCACCTTCTGCATGGCGCTCGCATTCAAAGCCACGAACCCGTCGCAAATCGCCAAGCGGGCCAAGCGACTTGAAAGATGGAAACGAGAAATGGAAATAGGTCCGAAAAGAAAACTGGAAACAAGAAAGGAAAGTGTGGGTTCCCCAAAGACACGGAAACGCTAAACAAAAAAAAGGAAACTGTTTCTCAGAAAACTCTCTCAGAAAGGAAAAGAAAACCCTCAGAAAGGCAAATGAAACATTCCAAGGCACCTCCATCTGGACCACTGCTGCCAGAAGACGGCGGGTTCTGCAAGCCGAAATTCATGTCGCCCTCGTCCTCATTGAACGTAGGCCTGAAGTTGGTCAGGAAGGACTGGAAGCCGTTCATCTCCTCGAGGCCCGGGGTGTTGTTCTGCACGCTAGACTTCGTGGCTTTGCCTTTGCTCCTGCAAATCTCCACCTCTTCAAAGAAGTAAAAGGGCTTCCCGTTCTGCTGGATGCACTTCACATCACCATCCCTCAAGGCACGCTCCAGGGCTTCTTCGCCCCCCCCCGAGTCGGCCCAGCATCAAGGCCTTCGGCATGCCTCTTGCCTTTTCGCGACCAACGAGCTCTGAGTACATGTTGCTCATGCTCTCCACGATAGCGTTGTTGGGCGTTGCCACCCACTTGCCCTTGTCATCTTTGCCGACGCAAGCGTGCACTAGCTTCGTTTTCTCTTTGCGGCTGACGGTGCTTGACCGGAACCTGCACGGGTTCAGGCATGTTGCTCAACACCTTGTTGAAGTACCAAGCCTTCTTCGGGTCTCGGTGCTCAGGCTCCTCAGCCGTGTCACCTGCCGGCTCTTCAGGCGCCGGCTCTTCCGGCTCATCCAACTGAAGCTTCTTGGCCCGCTCTTCGTCTTTGTCCTTCGCCTTGCCTTTCTTGTTCCTCTTGTCATTGTCATCATCTTTGCCGCCCTTTGGTTCCGGCACTTCACCATTCGCACCCTTGGCTTTCTTGCCCTTGGGGTCTTCGCCTGCATCCTCGTGCTTGCGCTTGTTCTCACCTTTCTTGGGCTTGGAAGGGCAAAGCCAAGAGTAAGGGCAAGCCTAAGACTTCGCCTAAGCCACGAAGGAACAGGACAAGGATGCAGGCGAAGACTCGACTGGGAGCATTCTTGCTTGCGGGTCTCTTCAGCACGGGCCGTTCTCCGACAGCTGGGTGTCTCCCGGCCCTGGTCCTCCATGTCCGAAGGCTTGGTCATGCGCTTCTGCAGCAGCTTGCAAAGCTGCAGCTTCGGTCCCGTGCGCGTCCGCCATGCCGCGAAAGAGTCTAAGCTAGGAAAATTGCTATAGCCAAAATAGCTATAGCGTGAAAAGAAATAAGAACGGACTCTCCCAAGAAAGGAAATAGAACAAGAAATGGACGTGGAAACTCACCTCTGTGAATGAAAAACTCGAAAACAACATCAAGGAAATGGAAACCTTCATGAACTCATGAATGGACACCTTCATAAACAATCAGAAAAGAAAAGAAAACCTTCAAGTCTGAGACAGAAAGACGAAAAACCGACACAGGAAATCGAAAACAAAAAAGGAAAACTCTCAGATAGGTAAATGGAAACCCTCACAAAGTTTCAGGAAGGGAATCGAAAAACACAGTGAAAACTTTCAGAAATGGAAACCCTCAAAAACTCACAGAAAGGAAATCGAAAAAAACACTTGAAAACTATCAGAAAGGAAATGGAAACCCTCACAAAAGATCGGAAAGGACATGGAAACACTGAGAAATGGCAACATTAAAGCAGCAAGGTCGTATTTTTCACCACTTATACGCTATATGTCCATGGGTCCCATTCCACGCGTCCATGGATTAGCGCAGGACGTGGCGCATCGATGAAAAGAAAGCAGACCAATGTGCGTGAAGCCGCTTGAAGCGCAGCGTGAAATTCACACACTGTTTTATTTCCGCCTTCATCAGCACCTCATCCGGGTGCACTGCAGGGGTAAGATTCATGAACGTGAAGCCTGCTGGGAGTGGAGCTCGGTAAAATTGCACTCCGTCGAGCTCCTCAGAGACATCGTTGCCTCGGATCATCATCCGCACATACACCAACGTCTTGGCCATATCCTCCAAATAGATCTTTGCAGCATGCTGCTGCTCTGCCTTCAAGTAGCACAAAATGATGTTCCTCCAGTTCTCAACCTGCTCCGCCAGCTCCTCGCTATCTGGGAAACTGTCATTGAAGAGCTGCTTGATTTCCCGAGCGTGCACCAACACGGTAGCCATCGCACACCGAAAGCGGAGGAAATTGCGCCCGAAATCTGAAACTGCTGAGGAAAACTATCAAAAAGTGGCTTGACAACTTGAACGAACGAATCATTCAGCAAAGTTCTCGAGTACAGGAAACTGCGCTGTCAGACCGTCAGAAAGGACAGAAAAGTTCACTGGAGAAACATGCGCGCTCAAAAAATAGGATATTTATATCTTTCATCTTTTTGATGATAGCCTCAAAAAATAGTATACATATATTTATATATATACACTATTATAACCAACAAGTCCAGCACTCACCAGGTTGTGCCCTGTCAAAGGAAGCGCCCGAAAATACGGGGCGCATGGGGGATTATGGCAGCTGATCAACTTCCCAGTGCCTCCAATCGAGCCAAGGCGAGCATTTTGAGTTGGCGGAGTGGCCTCACCCCTCTCTGAGATGAAAGCGAAGAACTCAAACTCAGGAAGACAGATCCGATGCTGACTGCGGCAAGGTGAAGCCAACCTGACAGCCCACACTGGAATCAACAGAAATTTCCGGGTGCCGTCAATGTTTCCATCCTTTGATTCTCTGTTGGTTTGATGATGCATGTTGGCTTCAAGACGTTGCTACTCGTCCCCATGCATGCGCGTGTGGTGGAAACGGCACTGAGTTGGGTTCCTTCGTAGGTCTCGCGGTTCCGTCACACTCTTCTGGCAGCCAGCAGACGATTTGGCGTCCATATCACCGTCCTCATTGACGATGGCTCCGACACCGAATTCAGCAAAGATGTTCGGAGCCAGTCACCTTGCTCCAATTTCGGTTTCTGGTTTGGGGGCCCAAAAAGCATTGATTCTGACAACCACGTGGCATTACTCTGGAGTTGTTGAAAGGCATTATCACAAGCGGGACAAATAGTTTTGCACGTCAGCCGGCGTGAAAGCCACGGCCGCAGCCAGCGAAGTATGTGTCTTCATGCGTGGCGTGACGTGAGAACTGGCCACGAAAACCACAGGGGCGCGGCGATGCTGCGACTGCAGAAAACTGAGCTGAAACGTGTTTCTTTTCGAACCGTGGTCGCGCAAACCCACATGGCAGGAAATGAGAAGCGTTTGGTGGATGCAGTTGTTCATGGCCAGGCCTTTGTGCAATCTCGTGCTAATTACATGGATCAGATGGAGACCGATGCTGCTGCAGTGGCACCAAGCTGAGATTTGCTCGCAAAGCCGTAGTAGGCGTGATGATTTCCCAGCCTCCTATGAACATGTGTTGATCATTTTTGCATGCGAAATGATATGGCCATTGCAACGCAGGGTTCAGATCTTGATGAACTTTCTCGTCTCTTTCAAGCAGATGTTGCGAAGCGAGAGGAGCTAATTGAAATTTGTGCCACGGCGTGGCAAGATGGGTGATCCTTTGTGCACTTTGTGCAGCTTGGAAGGAACGGAACCAGAAGTTGTCTCAGCGCTTGGACTCTTCGAAACTACAAGTGGCAGACAAGCTGGCAGGATGCTCAGTTCTCTAACAAACACCATTTAAATCATTGAAATTTAAGAGGAACAACGCAGCGCAGGGATCAATGATGTGAAATTTCAGTGGCGCTTGTAGCCCAGGCACGGGATGAACAGTTGTCGCGGCGAAAATATGTTAGAGACCCAGAGGTGTTGGTCCTGCTTTCAACTCGCAAAAAGAAATGGCCATGGAAGGGTTCATGAGAGGAGAGACCGTCTCACTGCAAACAATTGTCAACCATCATGCGACTTGCAAAGCAAAATTCAACGACGCAATCACTTCAGCGACTTGGCGCGGGCTTAGGATCAGCTGAAGCGCGGCGCTGATGACAGCGCAGGATAACCCAGAGAAATGGCAAGTCATCTCATGCCAGTGATGAAGAGGCACGCGTTTCAAGAAACACATTGTTTGCCTTTTTTCAGTTCAAAACCAGCAAAAAAGAACCGCTGAATATGGGAGACTTGTGCTTGAGAAGCATTCAAGTGATGCCCTTTCGCTCTATTTATAGCCTGTGTTGTGGCCTAAGAGCAGGGTGGTATTTGATGTTTTAACTGCCAGCTGGGTCTTGCACATCCATTCGCCGTTGACCCAACGAGGCCATACAAAGAGATCAGGAACAGAAACGCTTCGAGGAGAGGCAGATTTCTCGTCATTCGAGGCCAAAAGTCTGAAGACTGTATTTTTGCACAAGTTCCTCTTTCAGGTTACCAATGATTACTCCTTTCCATTCATTGGTCTCGGGCTCTCAGTTCTATTTTGTTTTACACAAACTTGTTGGCAACTTTGCATTTTATCCTGACGAGCCCCGAGCTTCTGAGTGATTTTTGTCAAAGAAAGTGTCCCCCTCAGCTTCCTTGAAACAAATTCCATAAGAACTGGTCAGCACCTTTGATACCACAAGAAGGATGAAGGAGACCCATCATGTCCAAACATCGCGCTTGAAGGAGTGAATGGGTTTAGCGCAAGGGGGACGATTGGAGTAGCCGCTGCAGGAACAACTCGACTCTGAGATTGGGGTGTTGCGAGCTGCAGTGAGTGAAGCATCACAGGCAGGGCCTCTATTGTCAGAGTAGACGACCATACTTGACTTCTCACCCACCACTTGGCAAGGGATTTGAGAAAATCAGTGGATGGCAGGAGAAGAGGGTTACAATCATTTATGTCTACTCATCAGCTCGAAAACTTCTCAATCATCCGCCGTCCGTACAGGCACGATCCTTGGCCGACAATGAAATGCTGGCGGCCCTGAACCACTACACCAAGGACATTGTGACTGCATCGTTTAGACCAAGTGACCAAGGTGGCATTTTTGGCCACAGGATCCTGGTCGGATTTGTACCTCCGATCATCAGATGTGAACTGACGCAACTCAATGGCTTTCATCAGAAATGACATGAGCTGTTGAAGGAGACTAAGACTTTTTCACTGGGACATCAACACAGACTGAATACACATGAATACACACTCTCATGAACAGGTGTAAGAACAAGTGCAGATCAACTGTGTGTGATGAAAGCAGGTAGTAGCCGAAGTCCACGCGATCGAATTTTTCAGGAGCTGCAAGAAGCAATCAGTCACGCAAGTAGCTTGGCAGCAGCGACAGGGCTACCCTCAAAAGGGCACCTTGCGACATCCAGCAGCCAGCTGGCCCAAAAGAAAACGATCCCAATCTCTGAATCCCCAGCCAGAAGCTCTTGCCAATCAGCATGGTCCACTCTGCAAAGCCGTTTCGGCTCCATCAATCTTTCCATTCGTTTACCGTTCTTGCTGGTAGCAATTGGCTGCCCCAATGTCATGTTCTTTGGACTTGCTCACAAATGTTTTCTTTGCACAATTTTGATTAATTTTTAGGATTTTGTTTCACATGCTTTCTGCGTGAAGATTCAGGGGTTCTCACAAAAACATATTGTGTGCGTTTTGGTGTGTTGCAGTAGTGATAGGATACTGTGGACAAAGCCCATTTGTTCTTTTGAGTGACCTGGTTCCAGAGCCAGATGCCTGTGGTGAAGCAGCACAGCTGAGGTTCTTCTATTTGTCCATTGCCTTTGCCATTATCACTTTGATCGAAGGAACTACCTGCACTGCGGACGAGAGCTCTCGCGGTGCTGCTTTGGCGCAACTGCGGGCAGACAGGCTCCAAGTACCTTTGGTGGACACAGCGGAAGATGAAGTGCAGATTTGTCACTGATCGTATCAACAAGCAACATTGTTGAGGCTGGTGAAAGGTAATTAGAGCCAGTAACAAACCCAAAACCTCTTCACCTTTTGCTTGTAGAGACGTGGAGTTTATGTCAAGTTATCATCAGGTGAAGCACCAACACAGATGAAGAATGTGGTCCTACTGCTTCACTGTCGCCAGTCCAATGAGATTTGTGAGTCAAGACGGCCCTTGCTGTCAAAGTACAAGGCCTGACGAACACTTGTGAGCGACTGAAAAGCACTATCGGTTTCCTTGGTCCTTGACCATGATCTCTGCCGGGGGCCTTGTTTCCGCTGAAGACAGCGTGGACCCTACCAAAAAGATTATCAAGCCATAAACAAACGATTGGCGCTGGAGAATAACATGGACACAAAAAACGTCCATCATGTCAATTGGTTAGTGCACAAAGAACGCAAACAGCCATAGAACACTGCCATCCTCTGCACTTCTTGTTAGGTTTGGCTGCTCACAAGGTTATATGTGCACGGCATGCCTTTAATTATTTTTAGCTTGCTTTGCATGCTTTGGGCCTCACTTCTGTTCACACACACAGACACAGGAGCTAAAAGCACGGCGCGATATTTTTTGGTGGCCCACTTGGGACCATTCTAGCAGGGACGGCCCAAGTCTTGCTTGGTGATGGCACATTGGACCCCATTTGCATTGCCATAATTTTGAAGCCGTCCAGTTCTCCAATGCTTGGAATACTGTTGTAGCGCAGCCCGACCCCCAATATTCTACCCATGTCCTCAGAAAAGTCCAAACTCGCCGTCCTCAAAGATTGTAGAAAGGCGTGATTTGCAGTTTGCAGTTTGTAGGCCTTTTTCAGAGAAGTTCGATGGCTCCTAGCCCACCCAAGTGGAGATCCGCTTGACGAGAGCTGCCCTTACCTTGGCAAAGGAGATCCTTATCTTTGCGTGGCAAGGTTCATCAACAAAACAGTGCCTTGGTCCATTAAAGATATGTTAAGTCAGAGCAGAAGATACAGCTTGAGCTACCATCAGCAGCTGCTTTGGAGGGCACACTTCATTTATCTGTTGGTCGATTCTACTCAATTTCTTTCAAAGTGGCATTGGCCACTTTGCAGATGTGGAGAGTTAGCTGCCACTCCCTCGACAGCCGGTCTACATTGAAGGTGAGAATGATAGATTCAGTTGGATGTCAGGCTGTCACGCATCCCCTATATATAAACCTTTTGTTCTGTGGGTCATGCCTTGGAAATCGTCTCCACTCGTGGCGCTTCGCAGGACATTGGCTCGATCTCTGGTGTCCTTTACATGCACTTTGATGCACTCTTGTCCCTGAGATTTGCTTGGAAGACTTCAATGACTTCAAGTTTATTTCGGCTTTGGACGTGAATTCAAAATAGTTCGGCCTTCTCATGAATTCACAAGACAGTTGCCTACACCAGGCAAGGACCCAATCAATGACTATGTGTAGAGCGTTGATTCAAAGATACGTGCACTCCAATCGTCGTGCCAATTCTGGAACAGCTACATGCTCCCACGCTCCCTTCTGACTCTGCCAATAAAGACAGAAACACCTGCAATTCTTTTGGCTTTGCCTGGAACTGGATCGTGGTAAGTTGTGAGACGAAACAAAAAGCACTTAGGTCACCTTGCAACTTCGCAAAGAAGTTTGAAGCCGAGAAGCTGGGGCGCTTCCAGTCCAACAAGTTTACCTCCTATGAGTGCCTCGGAAAAGCACCATGTGTAAGGTGACCAGAGGTGACCCGGAATGATCAGACACACCGATTGGTCGGGAAGGACTCGTTGTTGACCAAGGATTATTGGAAGCATTGCTCGTCCTTTCGGTTCTGACACTTCTAGATCCACCATGATCCACCATGTTTCAGCATGGCTCCAAGATCCTCTAACCCACCTCCTTTGTCGCTGCCTTCGCTATTCTTGTGCCAGGTATAGGGATCGTTGTGATGATCCCAAGTACCAGTTCCTCAATTGTTCCTGGAAACTCTGGACCTTCAATCGCAAGAACTTCTTCTCTGCCTTGGAGGAGGTTCAAATGCAATTTCCGCAGCTTACAGAGGATTTACCCGAGCTCTTGTTTGGCTTGCGGGTAGCTTGGCCTTTGGATCATTTCACCTCCAAGGATGCGTGATGTACCCTTGTGACATTTTGTGACACCTTGAAGGGTTTCCTGCTTTCTCAGATCCGAAGAACAGAGAATTTCGAGTGGCTTCTGGACTAGTGGGGAAAACCATCAACTCTTTCTGCCAGGTGTGAGTCCAGTTGACAACTGCAGCTGAACAAACGGAAAGCTGGCCAAACTGGCATGAATTTGAGACCCCAGCCACTCCACTGTCACTCCACTGTCCCATGAGGTTGGCTTCTTTGACTTCTTCTATTTGCCTCGCAAGGCCTTCCCAGTCTTCGGTCAGTTGGCACAGGTCTTTGCCAAGCACGCCGTGTACTTGGAGGTTGCTGGACCAAACATCTTGACTATGACCAAAGCACTCACAGGACTTGATGCTTGGAAGACTGAGGCTTTAAACACAGTTTGAGTTTCCGGACATTTCTTGTGGTCGACTCATAGAAGACCCCTTTGACATTTTCACGCCTGACCGCACACTCCAAGACACATCTTTTCTCAGAACGCTTCTTAAAAGTGACCATATATAATATATACATATATATAGATATGTATTCTGCGAAATGTTTTCATGTGCTGACGAGGAATTGCAGGAGTTCAACTGCACTTTGGGCGTCAAGCCTCCTTTGACATTGTTACAGATTTCTGCGCCAGACTTTCATTGTGGCCATGAAGTTCACTACCAAGAGGATGCTTATCGTTGTTCTGCCCAATATTTTCCCGAGTTCTTTCTTCTCACCACCTCCAAAGACTACTATATTGAAGCTAGATAATCATTTCTGGCCGAATGACAGCACCTAACTCCAGAAGTTTAACCATGAACAGGTGATGGTCAAGGTAACCTTTTCTGGTTTTGTATGCCTGTGTACCCTCACAAATCTCTACCAACACTTACCTGAAGACACGGACAGACGCTTGGAAGGGTGTACAGCAGTTTGGGACTGTTTTGAATTTGCCGCAAGCAGGGAGACCCCGCAACAACGCCACAACAATGCTTGCTTTGCCTTGCTAGGCCTTTTTGGAGTGTGATCTGTGTGTATCTTCACCAGGAATTTCAAGGATTTAACGCATTCTTGAGTCCATCATTTTGAGACCCCTTATGTCCCTTAAGACTCCAGACTTCTCGGAATCAGGATGGCATCCTGCGCACAGTATCAGCCATGCTTGAAGCTGGTGACTGGGCAGATCACTGAACGAAATGCTTTGATTGTTGTTTTTTCTTGCTTCTTCAAACAGGACACCCTGGGAGGACAGCCCTTTGTACAAAATTTTTTCGCAGATGGACTCCTAAGAAGGATCGGAGTCATGGATGCGCACGCTCCAAGCGAATGGCCCCAGCTTCTGATGGACATAGGGTGCTTGTGGGGCGTCCCAAGATTAGAGAACGCCACGAAGACAAATAAGATTAGGTCTTCTTCCATTTGTCTCTCAGCAGCAGCTGCACTGAGGTCGCCCGATGCGAGAGGATTCACTGGCTCGGATTCCCATGGCTTTTCTTCATTTGCCGGCGAAGGAGTGGAGCATTTGGATCGAGCTGCCGGTAGCCACTTGGGCCAGAAGGAGATGATGTAGGAAAGGATGTAATTTATTAGGTGGGATTACTGAGTCTTGGACACACTCAGACTCTGAGACAGTTCCTTGGAATGGTTTGGGAAGAGAAGATCCTTGTTTCCAGTCTAAGGCTAAGGGGATACATCAGTCTTCCCAATCTCTTGCTGCGAGGTTTCCCAATCGAAACGAAGGAGCATCACCCAATCGAAGCGAAGGATGTCTCAACATTACATTTCGACGCTGACAAATATCTCACACAAGCATGTATGTGCTTGGCAATGGTCCAAGGTAGCGATCTTCCACCTAGCTACCTCAATTTCTTTTTAAAAGTCAATACATTTGTGTTCCAAAACCATGTGGCTCGTGGCTGGGGATGTGAATTTGGGGCGCTGGCGGGCAATTTTAGCAGCAAATTCCTGCACTACTTTGGAAGGTCATGCCAAGAAATGTTTGCTCAGGTCTGCTTGGTGATTCTTGGCCTCTGCCTTGGAGCCTGTGGACTGGAGACTATAACAACCACTCTGTCCACATTTGCATTTTCATTGCTGGTTTGTGCCGCTTACGTCTTGATCTCCGTCACCATTGACCTCTCCATAGCTCGGCAAGCTCGGATGAGTGCCAAAACACCTGAAGAGGATTATGTCTTTGAGCCAATGTGTGCTGTGCTACTGACAGAAGGAATCAAGCTCCTGGTGTCATTGTGCCGCTTGGCAGGGAGCATACTTTCATTCAAGAGTAGTCGTAGTATTCGATCCAGACATGTTTGGGTCCAAGAACTTAGCCAAGCCGCTAAGCTTCTCTCTTGGTTGGCAACATCACTACACAGCACTGAGGCCACAGAGTGATTCGGAACAGTTTTCTTGTTCAGAGGAAATCGTGCCAATTGTTTTTGTTCTCGGGAGCCCTTACAACATGGGACTTTCAGCCAATTCTGCGCGAGTCTTGGACAGACAACACCAGGGAGCAGTCCGAGCACCGCTTTGAAGCTCCTCCCAAGGTTTGTGAGCACTAGCCGTGGGATCGAGTGCAAGATTCATTTAGGTGAACCCAAAAGTGCCACACTTGGACATAGAGGGGCACGTTCAACCTGGACCTGAATACGTTGCGAAATACTTCTCTCCCTTCCATGACTTTTCTTTACTCAATCTTGGGGTATTCCAACAAGTCGGCCCTTCTGCCTTCCAAGGACGTGTTTTGGACCCACCTAGGCCTGGCCATTAAAGCGGAAAAGTTTGAACGCCTCACCGCTGCAGACACTCATCAACAGTTTGGGGCAGGCTTCGACGGACGGATGTGAAAAGTTGGACGGATGCGACAACCCGTCGTCCTGCCAAGCAAAGTCTGTTTTCACGGGACAAATTGCACGTTGTTAGAAAGAATCAGTTGGCTTGATTTGTGTTTTGCTTTTTTGATGTTTGTCCCTTTGCCTGGCATGCGTGCATTTTACCATTGTGTTTCAATGGAAGGAACAAGCTAGCAGCTCGATGCATCATTTCTATGAGACTTACTGCTTATTAGGATATTTTCATGCAACTGGATGTTCATTTGAATGTCATGGAGTTTCGCCTCAGATGTCCAACAGAGGCTCCAGGGAGTTCTTATCACTGATTGAGTTGAAACTGCAAGTAAACCACTCCATCTAAACTCCTGTTCGATGAATAACTCCCGCAAAAGGACTTTTGCCTTGCAGAATTTCTTGATCCGTCTTTTATAGCCCAAGGATGTGAAATGGCTTGGCAGCTCGGCTGCCCTTTTCACTTTGAACAACCTCTTGGCTCCTCGGATGAATTGGCAGCAGTTGCCTTGATCGACACCGCTTTTTCAGCACTCGAAAGCTCGGACCGGTCGTGTTCCAAAGCTGCTGTAGGTCTGGTGGGCCATTGGGAGCAACGACCTGTCAACGTTTGGAGTTCTGCGTGGGCTTGGATGTTTTTCAAGAGATTTTTAATAGTTTGGCCCCTTTATGTCATCAATGCGCACGTCGCGCATGTCTCCATGACCATGATCATGATGCCCACCACTTGGGATTGCTGGCTGATGCTGAATCTTCTGGCACGGTGCATTCTCTTACTAAGTGACGAATCGTTTCATGTTTTGGGTTGTCCGCCCTTTGACATGGTGTTTTGGGTTGTCACCGTCACAAGTGCAAGGCCAGACTCATGCAGTTGTTGCAGTTGTTTTGCTGTCCATCGAAGGTGATACAATCATTCTTTGGACAGCCCTGTTCTGGCGACTTCTTTTTGGCAGACCCCTTGGTCTCTCGCGTGTTGGAGGCATACCTGACGGGTCTTTTTTGTTTGATCCACTGCACGAGTTACAGGGTTTTTGTATGCTGTCAAAACTAGTGTTACCATGCTTTGCCCAGCTTAGCTTATGACGAGCTTGAAGCTTCCATATTTAACATGGTACTTCTATCACCATCCAACTGGTTAGTGACTGCCCTGACCTGCACCCCCAGCCCTGACCTGCACTTTTTGAGGCGTTGCCATTGTGCTAGCCGGCCTTTGGCTGAACCAAGTTCAAATCTTGACCTTCTCAAAGTTCTCTTGGGCCCCGTTTCTTGTCCTGTCCATGACCGCATGCAATGCCCTGGCTTCGGTCATCAATGAGTTTGGCCTGAAGCAGCATCACTCTGCCAACATCAATCTGCAAAATGCCCTTCTGTTTCTTGGCGTCGAGTGGATAAACCCGCTGGGACCTTTTGCTCGCAGCTCAGACCCGAGCCGGCTAGAGGGACTTCCCGTCGCCGGGCCTTGGTTTGTGGAGAATGCCTCACTGGTTTTTTAAGTCGAGGTTGAAACCATCCTTTGATGGCGCACTTATTCATTCTGGCGTTTTGGCAAGAATGACCCGTGAACACGGACCCAGGCCGTGAATCTCATCGACAAAGAATACATCCTCAATCCGGCCCACCAGTCCTGCAATGGTGCAGTAGATACAACACAACAGCAGATATGTTGTAACACAACAGCAGTGTGTCCTCCTGCGCATATTTGATGATGTTGGAAGCCTGGAAATCAAATCTCCACCCCGTTTACTGTTCAGGCGAAGGCCTTTAGCTGCTTGAAGATAACCCCATGTATCTCAACAGATCTCAACAAGGGAGGTGAAGAATGAAAAGGCTCCAAACTTTGGGCCTTACAGAGTGCATGTTTCCTTTCGTTAATTATCTCCTTTTTCGGATCTGTGAGGAAGACATCAGACAGATTCAGACAGCTCCCTGCGAAGAAACACGTTTTCTTCAGAGCCGATCCCATGAATTTATCTCTCGGTGTCGCCTTTTCGCAGTCAAGTTTCCTTGCTGGTTCAGGTATTCTGCATGCATCTTCTTCACCCTAGCGACCATGGTCTTTTCAGGCCGAGTACATTCAGTGTGCCTTGGCTGCCTTGGCGGTCCTAGGTCCTTGTGAGCAGGACATAAGTTGATGACGAACAGTTGGATGCCGATTCCAAAGCCAGAGGCGGCGAAAGCCGTTACAGTATCACATTGTTTCAGATCGGCTTAGCTACTGATCAGACGGTAAAAGATGGCCAAGTCTGCTGGCTGTTGAACATATCTCCACTATGAGGAAGATCCAAAGAATGTTGGCTGTATGCAAAGCCATTTGTGGCCAGTGGCCAGTCTTCCCACCACCAAGAAGCAGAGGTATCATCGAGGCTACTTCTACGGCTTCACTCGCCACACCGTCTTCACCATCTTACTGCAAGCAGTCGCCGGGCTAACAGTCTCAAGGATTCTCAAGTATGCCGATGCAGTTCAGAAGAATGTTGCAGCCTCCTTGCGGGGACCCATCCTGGCCACCTGGTGGGATACTTTTTGTTTTTTTGATTTTGTCAATTGCTTTGCCGAAGGTGGGGAGACGATAATTGAAAGGACAAACAGGTGGAAAACATTTGGAAGATCATGGCACTTCTTCCTTCTGTTCTTGCGCTAGTGTTACGAGCTTTGCACGAAAAAGGTGTTTTCGCATCCGAAGCAAATTAAACGTTTCTTCATCTAGTCCGCCCGATTTTTCTTTTAACAGGTGCTCTTGGGAGATGAATGTTGGATAAATTTGGTGCAAACAAAGTAGCAAGCACATCGTGTTTTCCGGTGCATTTTGCTTCAACTTCCGCTCTCATTACTTTTATCCAACCTGGTGTTCAAGGTGTGCGTTTCGCCCCTGGTTGGATCCATGGCGAATACACAGACCTTGCTCTCCGCCCTCCTGGTGAGCTGTGGCTGCACGATCTACCTACTGCAGGGACCTCTGAGCGCAAGTGAGAGTAAGGCTGAGCAAACCGGGCAAACGAGGTAGATCAGATGGCTGTGGGTCATGGCACCAGGATACCTTCGTTGACCTACCTGGAAGGTCAAGCTACCTGATGGACCCTCCAAGTTTTAACCCCTCCGCAGATAAGATCATTGGAGATCATACGTATCGTTTTGCTGGCTTATGCTGAAGGAGCAATTATCTATTTCAGCGAGCTGGGTGGAGAGAAACATAACTCATACTTCTTGTGGCAGACCAAGGAGGAGCTAGACCTAACGGCCTGACTCTTTTGCCACTTGAAGCCAACAATGCATCGAAGCAGAAAGAGGAGCTGTCAGGCTGTGAATGACAGGGGGCCAAGAGTCTAGAATCCTGCTCCATACCAACAAGTAGCTCACAAATAGCGACTTGCCGATACGCAAATGCTGCTATTTGTATGGGGCAAAGATAGCCATTTGTTGTGTGCCAGATGCGTCAGACTTATTGCGCTCATTGGTTCCGTGTCTGGACAGGTCTTTTTGATACAAAGGGGACTTATGTGCCTTTTGTTAGTCAGTCCTTTGGTCAGATCGATGAGAGTGGAAGGAGTCAATTCTTGAAACAATGCTGGAGCCCTCCCTAGTCCCTACCACTCTCGACCAGAAAATGAGGTGGAAGGACACTTTCATTTTCCCTGTCCATTTCATTTAGTGTGGTTTCACATTGGAAAGACGCTACGGCCCTACTTGTCTTTCTCCAAGTTCTTCCATTCCCCAGTCAATGCGAGAAAGAGCCCGGACACAAGGGACCCAAGAAAGTTGCGTTTTGTAAAGTTTGGAATGATGGGAATGAATCCGTTTTGGGAACTGATGCCGTGTCTGGAAAATGTTTTAGAACCTCAAACGGATGCTCACATCACCCATTATTTTTTACCTCAATCTCGCGTGCTCAAGGTGAAGGCGCATTGCAAGCAGTGCGCAGAGGAGCTTCGGGATGAGAGAAGGGAGAACTGGCAAGGTTGGTGCTTGGGCCGAATGCACTTCTCTAACCTCTAGCTGCATGGTTTTTATCAGAACCGTCTCCTCGGAGTGGAGGCCAATCTATTCAATCTATTCTAGCTGGTGAACGAGGGTAGCAGCGTTTTTGAGTTTTTTTAACCGTACCTTTCATGAAGCCAACTCAACAAGACATCCATAGCTTTGCATATGACTTGCAGGACTTGGACCATGAGTGCCAGGCCCCAAAGATGGGCCCAAAGACTGGCGGCCAAGGAGCCTCATTGGTCAATGTGGTCAATGCAAATCAGCACTAACAGCTTCTTGTGTCTGGTGAGTCATGCGAGTTTTTGATGCATTGAATGACCAAAGGTTTTTTTGTCATGTTGCGTCTCATAACCAAAGGCTCTTTTTCACAGACTGCTTGTCTCGGCATACCCATTTCACTAGAGAAGGCTCAAAGGCTGGGTATTCCCTTCAAAGTGTTAGGGGTACCCCTCGTAGTCCTCCTTCGATCGGGCTTTATGGTGCGCTTGCTGCATGTCTGGATCCAATCAGCCTGGTTTTGGAATTAGAAAGGGTGTCCGCCTCAAACAGCGAATTGATCGGATTGAAGTTTTGACAGTACAACTGGTGAAGACATGCAGCAGTGCCCCTGAGAAACTACCTGCTTACCAGTATCCCAACTGGTGAAGAAGTCCTCTCGCTATACAGAGGTATTTCCTAGCTACACGACGTCCTGTTGAGCTGGCCGCTCAAATCTGTTTTGTCACAAAAAGATTCAAACACATTCTCGGGGCTCTAGCATCAGTAGGTAGTATTACAGCGCGTTAGGTTTGCCTTCCATCCAGGCTCGGCCTTCGTTGGGGTCGGAGATGTTCTAAGTTCTGAGCCATCGGGTCAACCGACGGTCAACCTGCGAAACAGTTCTGGTCAGCAGGGCAGCCAACATCAGATCCTATTATCTGTTATCAGGAGTTCGTAGTGGTTGTGAGGTGGTTTACCAAGTCCTTTTCCACAACACAACTTTGCAAGAGTTCATGATGGCCAAGAGATGTTGGTTCTGTCTTTGAACCAGTATAGCAAGCTGGCTATAGCTTTTCAACTGTACTGGTGTTATCCAGTGAAACTGTGTCAAACATCATTGGTGCACAGGCATACGCATCGAAAGAAAGTCTTTGTACGGAGCATCACGATGTATTTTGCATTTGGTCATCACATGCAACACCATGACCAAAGCACCCTCGGAGCCTCACACTTCCACATCTAGACCGTCTGAAACAATCACAGAAGTGGACAACCACTGGGTTTGTAGAGAAAAGCTGTAATCCTTTCGGGGGGCCATGCCATGCCACTTCCCTTATTCTTTCAGTGTACATTTGTACACCCAGCCCAACCACCTGCCCTTCAAACCCTCATAAGACGTTTTACTAGACCTTTTCGATTCAGACCGCTTCAGGCCATGCCGGACACCGAGACTGCGGTGGTCACCACCGTCGGCTGTTCGGTCCTGGGCCTCGTTCTGGCCGGTCCCGTGGGCGCGGTGCTGGGGGGGCGGCCTGGCCGTGGCGGCGCTGCAGTCGGAGCTGCGCAGCTTCTCCAAGGGCCGGTTGCATATCGCACAAGTCTCCCTTCCACAGGAGGGGGCGGATGGGGTGGGGACTGGGATGGCGAGGAGGAGGAGGGTGGCGGAAGTAGGAAGTAGGATGTGAAAAATCAGGTTGTGTGGGAGATGGAGACAGTGGATCTGGTTTGGGATGAGGTCGATGGATGCAGGGAAATGATGCCACATTGTGTCATTAGGCCCGCACACTTGATAAATCCATGACATGACTCGAAAAACAATGAGCAACTCCTCCTTTTGTGGCGCGCAGGATGGCGTCGTTCGCCACAGTGGCGTCACCTACTTCACCATGCATTTGGTGGACGAGCAAGGTCGTAGGTGGCAGGCCGGCATATGCACAGTGCTACTCTGCGATTTTTCTAATTCGTTCTAATCATTGTTACTGGTTGAACACTTACAGAGTTGTGCTCTGGGAATTTAATGCTCTTTCTCAAGGTGCTACGTCGCTACACTGACTTCGATGAATTTCACAAGGCTGTGCACAACAGGGACATCCACGCTTACTTCCCAGGTGGGCCCGATTCGGCCCGATCTCTGTCAATCTTGCAGACCTTCTTCTTCACTTGTGAGGATGGTTCAAGCCTGGCCCACTTATATAACTCAAAATTGAACTTGTGGAAGCTTCTCGGTCATTTGAGCCGCTCGAAATCAGCTTGGTCAGATCAAATGCCAGTATTTTGGACCTAAACTGAAGAGAGACCCGGACCCAAATCCTTTAAGCTTGTTTTTTCCTCGTTCTTCCAACGGTCGGTGACAGGCAAGACGTGGCTTCCTTGTCACGGTCCTCAGCTGGAGGAACGACGAAGATATCTGGAAGCCTGGGTGCGGGATGTCTTCCGCCCCTTGGTGCGTTTTGAGGAAAGAGAACAGGGAGAAACAAGTTTTGGAAGCGCATTGACCAAGGCCTGCAACAGAGATAAACGATGATAAACGTGAACAGAATCCATAGGTGATTTCGTGATTGTATCAATGGACTGTATGTGAGTAGCTGAGTACTCTCTGCATGTCCCAATGATTTTGCAAGATATTCCCGAGGTGCTCTGCTGTCGGCTTGTCCAAGAGGTTGTGCCTTTACCTTCATGCCCAGCAATCGAGTGATCAAACCATCCTTGAGGCTTTCCTAGTCTTTTTTTAATCTTCTTCTGCCACTGGTGCGTTCAGACGTCTTCTAAGACTCTCTTCGTGTAGAATTGTAGAACAAGTTGTCTTAGCAAGGCCTGCGAGCTGTGAGATGGGGGTGGAACGGGCACAATCCGAGGTTGCTTCACAAGGATTGGCATCCCAAGCTCATTGGAGCTTGAGTTTCTTCCCTGCAGATTTTCAATAATTTTCACCAGGGCCACACAGACGTGTGTTGGCTCAGCGTTTTCCTTTTGCTGCAAATAGTAGACTGTGAATTTAAGACTGTCACAGAAACTTGCCCATGAGTGTAGGAGCCCCGAAATAGAATTGAATGTGCACTGAAAACGCCGTAGTGACCCCTATATTAGCAACCTCCCATTTCCTGGCACTGCAGCCCAAGCCCAGGTTTGAAGACTTCCTGCACCGTGGCATGGGACAAGTCACAGGCCCAATGGCCGCGCCCGCTGCATCGGCACCCGCCTCGGTGGGCACGGCGGCCACGGCCGCAGCGGGCTTTCTGATTCAAGTGCCACCAGGAGTGGTGCCTGGGCAAACGCTCACGGTGAAGAGTCCGGATGGCCTCCTGGCTGAACAGGCGAGCCGCGAGCCATGAGCCACAGGGGGTTCAGAGGGCTGCTGGGTGGTTCGCTGAGGTGGTTCAGAGGGAGTTCGTATTCTTGGCGTTGATATGGGTGGTTTGGTCAAATCTCCAGTAGCTTCTTTCAAGATTTCCGCAGAGGACTTCACTGATCCGTTGGAAAGAACGATCCATGTCCACCCCTTTGGGACTCTCCGAAGCGTCGGCGCCCAAGGTACCAGCTTTCAGATCACGGTTCCTGAGGGCTGTGCTGCGGGATCAACTTTGCAGGCGGATCCGGAGGGCGAAAAACAGGGCCAATGGGGGAGAACATCCAAGTCCAAGTGTGTCTGAAAAATACGGATACCCCAAGGAGGGTTGGTTTTGCCCGTCATTTGGAAAAACACTTTTTCATAGACTCTGAGCTTGAGCAAGTCCTGTCACATAACCTCTTCATATCAATCCTGCCTTTCCTGTTGAGGGAGTGAGTGCCCGGCCTTCATTCATCATGGGCTGAACACAGGGCGATTGACCCCTGAAAGGCCATGTAGTCTCACAGACTTCCCGCTAAGAATCATCCAGCACAAGAAGAATGGGGGGTTGCTCAGGAGGGAGCTAAGGAGCTGGCGGTCTCATTCTCCAGATTCCCCATTAAACAGGGAGCGGTTCGTTCGCTACCACGGGAGCTCCCGCAACTCCTTCCTGGTCCAAGTTAGCATCGAGAAAGAAACCAAATCAGAGTTGCTTTGATGAACTCCGACCACCCCGAATGACTCAGGTCAGCACACCCAGCCCGGCGAACCCGAGCTCCGCAGCGACCGCTTGCCCAGTGAGTGCTCCCCAGGCTGGAGTTTGTGGTGGGGTGCGGACGAAAGAAAGGGAAGAGGCTTGACGAGGCCAAAAGACATTGGTATGGTCCTGTTTTGTCCTACGCCTCCAACTTTGGGAGGATTTATTTCTGAAACATGAGCTTGCAGACCCTTTTTAGTCCTCCGCAAGTGGATAGACTTGCAAACTTGCATCGCGCTCTTGTTTGATGGAGAACTGGCTGCGTTGTTCTTCTTGTCAGTGAAAGCCAAGAGGCCTTCAAGATAGACAAATCTCGAGGGCTGCACTGGCAGCCTCATTTCTCAAATCCACATCAAGCTCCCCAGGACAGGCCACAACTAAACCACAATTCTTGGAACTACAATGAAACTGTAGACTCTTAAACTTACGGATGCCAGATTCCATGTACTACACAATCACAACCACAAAATGTCCATCAAATTCTAACGCACGTTTCCACTTGCCAAAGGTCATTCCACATCATCTCATTTTTTGTATCCACTGCTCTTCCCCTCCTTCTTCTCAAGTGCAGATTCTTCGCCCTTCCCCCAACAGTTAGACGTTTGGCGCACCCGATTCCACCGATTCCAAACGAGGTGGGCGGAAGCAGCTCGGGTGGGAAGATCTTCCTCAGCATCTCAGTGCCTCCCAATATCTCGGCAGGGCAAAAGATCGCCGCTCCTCGGCGAACCGCGCGACGTCTGAGAAAGGGTCGCGCGCCCTTTCGCGGGTCTTGGTGCGAGAAAGGGGGGGCACGGCATCAAATGCCAAGCGGGTAGTAACGGTAGGGAAGCACTCGGCAGATTGACAGCTCAGGTTTCATTTAGGTTGAGTTGGTCTGAACAAGCGGAAGGCACTGAAACCGAAATCGCATGAAACCACAATCTGTTCTTTGAACACTTGATTTATTTGTTTTTGAATTTGAAGTCTTTTTTTGTTTAGGCACATGGTTTGATCTCTTTAAACATGTTGTGGTGAACAGCTGCCTTTTTTGTACTCCCACTTACCATCATTTACCGCTTTTATGTCCACCAGGCTGGATTCAATCTTTCCGATACTCGTTCACCCGGGCTTGATCGGGGTGAAGAACGCATGGAACTAAATATCTAAAATAGGTTTACACCCGGGGAGGAGTAGCATGGAACTAGCCTGCAGCTTCCTCCACAAACTACTGGTTTTGAGGTTCCATGTCAATCTTCCAGGCATAGTTTCTTTCCTAGTTGAGGGTAGCTCACCAAGACACACTCAGAGGTGAAGGTGCCTGATGGTCGCGAGCTCACGCTCATGGTGCCAGCAAATCTGCAGCACCGCGAGGCAGGCCATAGCGTGGGCAGACAACAGTAGGGGGTAAAAGATGGCGGACAGCGAGAGGGATTCAATTCATCTAGACTTTCCTGATCATTAGATCATCCCATACACGGCCGCAAATAGACTGCAGATATTCCTTCATAGGTATGGACGGTATGGACTTAAACAAGTTGTTCAAGATGTGAGGCTTAGTTGTTGCCAAAGCTGCAGGTGGATTTGAGATGGTCATGATCGACGGGATTCCGTTGAGAGAAGGCTCAGTAGAATGCCAAATGGATCTACCAACATTGTTTTTCGTTTTCAACAGGCCTTACATGCATTTTCGTGGGTATGGGCAACAAGATGAACGGCAAGACAGCAGGCTTTACAGCTCCAAAAAACAGCGTCTTTCCCGACCACAACAAGCGTCGACCTCTTTGCAAGATGTCGCAACCGGTGACTTTTGTTCCGTCTTTTTTGCCTCAGGACTTGCAGCTGGAGTTCGATGTGGCCGCTGGGCAGCTGAAGCCGGTGGCATTACCAGAGGCCTCGGAGGCGACGAGCATCCTGGCGCAGATGGGCCAAGGAAGATTTGGTCTGCTTTTAGAAGGTTCTTGGTATAGGTTTGACATTTCTTCCCCGGGTTTGGAGGATGTCCTGAGACAGAACCATCTTTGCATTCGAAGCATCCAAAATTTCATGGTTGTTTTTTGCAGAGTTCTTCGCCGATTCGCTGCCTGCAGAGCAAGATGGGCGGAAGAATCCGCTTCCCCCCCACCAAGCTCTCAGGGTTCAGCTGGCTGAGGGTGTTGGCTTTCACTCGAATCAATCTGAGGCAGTGAAGAGGTCTTCCAGATCCAAGTGCCCTGTGGCGTCCACAGTGGGCAGATGGTGAACATCCAGGTGCCGGATGGACGACAGCTGCCCCTCATCATACCACCAGGAAAACAACCAGGACCAACGGAATCTATAGAGGGGTCGTGCAGAGTTTTTTGTCCTTCGGCAGCTTGTATAGAATGGGTTATGTTGTCTCTATATATGTCTTATGTCTCGTCTATGACTGGAGATTTTGCGCCCGAGACGACCTGTTTCTCTCCTGTTCAAAATCACGTCAGGAGACGACCTGTTGCTTTGCTTGGATGCAACAAGAAGTCGACTCCTCTTGGCCAAAAGCTGAGCCCTTGAAGGTGGACTTCCACTTCCCATGTCCTCAGTGGGCATTAATCCATGGGCTCAGAAGCAGGGTTCCTGTTGAAGAGCCAATGCGAAGCATCTCGGAAACCGAGATCGTTTTGCGGCATTCTTGCATTCAGCGGACCTAGAGTAGTGGCAAGTATGTACAGGCTGCAGTCCACCATTTTGCCAAATCAGGGAGTTGTGTGAACAAAAGTAGTGGAGGAACCACTATCAGTCGACGTGGCTGCAGTGGGTGTAAGTGTATTTTAAAGACGTGTCAGACCTGGATGTGGCAGCAGTGCATTGTTTTCTGGCTAAGTTGTTTGTGTGATGCACAAGCTGAGACGCCAGGCTCATTGTTCCATTCGTTGAACCTGCAGACCTGCAGCTTAGTGTCTCAAGCACCCCACGCATCTGCAGATATGGCCCTGACCACGCCCATGGCATGTTGTTCACTGAAGGACAGGTGACATGATGGGTCGTCCCATTCTTTTTGGCCATCGAAGTGGATGGAGATGAGCAGAAAGGCTGATATCCATAACAGGCAAAATAGGGCACCTGATAAAACAAAATGAGTTGAAAAAAAAACCGGTAGAATGTATTAAGTAAGGAAGGTTCCCACAGGTTCAGAAATAGCTCGGCCACCGCTTGGTATTCTGTTGTTCATTAGTGAGACGTGTTTGATGAGTCTTCTTCGATGTGTCAGAGTCAGGAACAACACCTGTTGGCTCACCGTGTCACAGGAAAAGTCCATTGCAGCCAGAAAATGCATTCAAGGCGAACATGAAAGTATTTCTTTCTTTGGTGTTTGCTTGGCTCATTCATGTTTGCAGGACCCAGCTTTGCTTAGCGCCTACAGCCTGCTGAAGTCGGTTCAAGAGATAGATCCTGACTTCAAGGACAAGGCCCACATGTTTTGGTGTCAACGCTAAGGCTCATGAAGCATCACAAGTCCAAACGTCTTGAGGACAAATCACCGGCAGAGGCTTCCACTACTGTTGGAGAAAGCACCAATCACCGGGTCAATGATGTCAGCTGAATGCTTTGTTTTGACCCCCAATGCCCCGCCAGGGTCAAACCAGCATGCTTGGTCCTCCCATTGGATCGGTCTGTGTGAGTGTGTTCCAGGTGCGCGTGCCGGTGATGGTGATTGTCGGAATGCAGTCTGTGGGGAAGACAAGCCTCATCGATGCTGGGCCAGAGGTAAAGTCGATTGAGTTGAAGTTCACCTGTGGACCGGGATTTTTTATTCCCTGAAATAATCATGGAAGTGGAACGTGGCCGCTGGAAAGACCATTATCCTCCACAAACAGATGGTTGTCCACTTGCATTATTCTTTCAGGTATTATACTCAGTGTTTCATCTCCCTGCTTATCCTGCTTATGTCTTTGGGTGAAGTCCTCATGATCGTGCTCACGTCTCAGAAGTCTAAGCTTTCTGAACATGGCTGAACTGCTGGAGACTGTGGTTCTGCTACGAGCTGCACGGAGGGCATACTGTAGAGGGGAAAGCATACAGGGTTGAAGCTCCTAAGGGGGGACCAACGGAGTACATGTCATTTTTAACATTGGTCAGAGTGGTTTGGTGTTGAATTGGAAAGCATCCGTTGTTTTTTGGACGGAATGAAACGAAGCGTGGCTTGGTGTTGAATTGCTCATCGTACACCAGCTTGGTGCCCACCTGTTTCTAGGGGAACCATTGGGAACCATGACCATCCATGACCCCAAAAACCTCACTCTGGATCTCTTCAAGTCAGTTGAAGTGCTTTGCCAGCTAGGTGAAGCATCGGCGCATTTTTGGACGAATCCTGAATGGCAAAGGCCACAAGAAATATAATTGTGAACATCACGGGGAGACCATTTTGTGTTGCAGAGGGACCATTGCCTGAACACCGTCCAATCCGGACCATCGCAAGGAAGCAATTCTCAGATTCCCAGTGGGCTACACAGATCGAAGCTCGGAGATCGGTGTAGGTCGCCACGAGTTTGTGTGTAGATGGTCTTCTTCTGTAGATATGATCTCTTGATGACTTTTTAGTTGACATGGCGAACGTAGCCTGCACATGAGTATCGGCCCTTGTTCTTCAGCTTTGCAGCATGGCGAGTGGAGACCCTGCAGCTAGAAGAGTCAAGCTCAAGACTTCCTGTGGAGTTTCCTTGAGGTTTCACGTTTACTGCAGTGCTGCCGTTTAGATGTGCACCCAGAATTGGGAATGGCCTGGCCCGGTCAAAAGGCTCAAGGGAGGGAAGAGCTGAGGCAACACGGGCAACCGCTGCCCAGTGCGCTACATCATCAGGTTTTCAGAGCATTCTCGCTATGTCGTGGGCGGGGAGAAGCTGCACAATCAAGCAGAGGTCCAAAGAAAGGTCACAGAGCATATGAAAAGCTTGCAGAAGCGCAACAGTTTCAGCAACCAGGTGGGGTGGGGCGAACTAGCCTGCTACCCAGTTGCTTGAGTTGTTTGCCCCTCCAAAGGCACCGAACAGAATCGCAAGAAATCACCACGAACAGATGACGCGCAGTTGGAAGCTAGATCTACATCAGAAGTTAGCAATCATTTTTCATATTTGAGTATTTTGACGGCAGGCAGGCTCCAGAACACCTTCGTGGTAAAGTTCACACTAAAGTTCACACACCAAGACACTATAATGCTTTGTCATTGAAAGTGCGACTGCATTTGGCAGGCTTTGACAGTTGAGATCAGCGATAAAGACCAGCTTGATATCGACATCACCGATTTGCCTGGCTTGCAGGACTGTCTGCCTGTTTGTGGTTGTTCCTTTGAGCTCGTGCTGAGAGAGCTTGTGTCACTGGATTCGTACGCGCTTTCACATGTTCTGCACACTGGCTTTAGGACAAAGCTGAGCAAGATTCGGAGAACATCCGGCAGATTGTGGAGCACTACTTGAAGGATGAGTCAGTGATCCCTGTCGCCGTGTGCAAGGCATGGTGGTTCGCGCCTGCGCCACTGCCTTTCGTCGTGGGTGCATGCTTTTGTTGGGAGATCGGCAAACCCTGGAGGCAGAGAAAAGCCATGAAACACAAATCGACTTCTCGATGTTGGAAGACGTTGGGCTGAATGCCAAACATGCACTGGTGGTAATCAATTACTTTAACAAGCAGCTGGGTGACTTGCACTCCGTCTCTGAGTTGAATAGCTACTGTGCTGGCTACTTGGACAAGTTCAAGCGTGTGCACTTTGTGATGTTGCACTTCGAGGAGGGGATTGACAAGGACAGCATGGGCTTTGATGAGCGACGCCGGTACGACCGGGCATTGATCCCAGGGGATGCCTGGCTGCGCATGGCTGCGCCAAGCCCGGTCATGCAAGACATTTCTTTTTCATGCTTGCTCATCCTTGAAGTAATGCTCATACAGTTAGGGACTATCCAAGGAACAAAAGAAAATCAATGAGAGGATTGAGCACTTGCAGGAGAAGGAGCCTGGTGCACAGGCAGGCTGCGAGGGGTACGGGTAGTGAATACAGTTTCCACGAGGCCACAATGGTCCAGCCTCACACTGCTCGAATAAGGTTAAGCCAGGAGTCCTGAAGGCCTTGGGTATCGGGTCCGCGCTGGACGACATGCAAAGCAGATTGTCCGCTCCTGAGCATAAATGGCGAGCACATCCACAGAAGCATGATGTGTACTTTCTTGAAGTCTGGCGTTGATTTTGGATAGGGTGATCTGGACAACATGCTTCTTTGATCCTGGATTCCAAATATCCGGTTGATTTGGATCGATCAGAACCTCGATGACATTTTGCCAAAAGGGTTTGAACATGATTGAAACGTGGGAACCATGGCTCCGGATATCTCATGAGTTGCACAAGAGTTCAAACTCTTGTGCCGGAAGCATTATGAAGCATTCACAACTTGCCACATACTATTGATCCATATCCATTTTCAATGATGATTTGGCTCAGGTCCGGTTTTATGGAATTCAACCGTACCAACCTCACGGTTGCCGTGAAGGAGACATGGTGCTGGCTTTGTCAGCATGTGACAGTGGGCTCAAAGTGTGTATGAAGCAGCCCCACTCTGCTCGATAAACTCTGAAGGCGTACTGATGATGAGATATGATGGGTACAAGCTCATTCGCTTCTGTGTGGAGAAGCAGTGATGGTGGTGCTTATAACATGAAATCCTCCACTTCTACTATCCTAACATGAAGGTTCAAGAGAAGAACTCGTCAGGCTTCCAACGAGGGTTCAAGCCAAAAGGGGCTTCAATGTTGAGCAATGTGATACAATGAAGACACCCACTCCAAGGTGTTGCGAGTGGTTGGTGTGCGAAGCTCCAAGTTTGCTCAGAACAGGTGCCGCACTTCGAATTGTCAGGAGAAGATTGAGGCCTTGTTGGAGGAGTGCAAGAATCTTCGAGAATCTGTGGATCTCGATGCGGACTCCATGTGGCAGCGTTGCTGGACCAAAATCATCTAAGAGCTACTCGTACAGTTGGGAATGTTCCCATTGACAGGCCTACTGTACCTAGAAAGTAAACACATGTCCAAGCTGTCTAAGCTTTCAAACTTCCGATGCTATGCCTTTTACACGTTTATTATACCTTTCTGAACCACGTGAAAGGACATGGGAGTGGCCGACCCTGTTTTGTTCGATCATCCGAAGGGCACCAGGGTCACCTCCCCCAAGGATGGGATGAGTATATGCTCGACTTCCAGACCGTGTTGAAGGGCATTTTTGAATGCAAGCACAATGACATCAAGTCGGATCTGCAAAGCATCTGAGATTAGCTGAGTCGGTGATTGTATCTCCTGGCCCATGGAAAGGAACATTCTATAGAGCTGTTAAAATAACCCCTTGATTTTGGGTCTCTCCGCAGCACATCAAGGTATGCGAAACGGCATCATTGGATGTTCGATAAGAAGACACTGGGCATGGAAAATCCTTTTGCGGCGACATTCGCGGAGGAGATGCCACATCAGCGGTATTCATGCAAACAAGCCTTTTGCTATGCCAGGGTATTGGATTTCAATGGGTTTCAATTGACCCTCATGCTATAGCTTCCATAAGTCATTGAGGCTTTAGACATTTTTAGACCATGACGTCTTGAAATGTGCACCGAGAAAGTGCACCGATCAACGTTGCTTATGCTATGCCAGCTTTGCAGTACATTCCGAGAACACAGCTTCAAGGTTCAGCTTGTATCAAGTGAAGCGGGCTGTCTAGAAACCAATGATCAGCCTATATTATGTGTAGTTTGAAGTTGCTGGTCGACATGGTACTTGGCCACTGGGTGGAGTCACACTTGGTGGTTCTTACTGTGAGTTTCGAGCCTCAAAACATATGGTTCGCAGCTTCCGCAGCTT